CTCCAGAGCCATCAGCACCTGGGATTCAGAACAGCAGATGCCAGACCCAGAGACACTGGCACAGGGACAACTTATCTGCAGCAGGCAGAGAGATGCCAGAGCCTGCCTCACCTCAAAGGGCTATGACTCACATCCAAGGTATTTCAGGCCACCTGATTTCCTTAAGTGCTTAAAACAGGCTACTGACCACCCCTTGGTGGAAACTCCTACTAGGCAGAGGTAGGTACAACACACAGCACCACTCCAAAACACGTGGCTGCTTTTAAACCCTGCACGTTCAGGCCCATCTGCACATCTTGGAGATGAGCACTAGCAGAAGCATTAAGGGCTCGTCTTCACTGTAGCGCTCGGGAACCTCTGATTAGAGACAGGGAGGAGATCTTGCACTAAATGCAAGATAAAGTTACACTACAAATTGCTACAGCAATATATCAGAGGAAGAAAGAGAAAAAAAGGGAAACAGAAAACAAAAGGAAAACAGAAGAAAAAAAACAGCAACGAGCAAAGCATCCTCACAGCTGCACTGAGGTGTCTTTCGAGACTGACCATGTCTTGTATGAGCACTTCCTACTGGATAGAATTAAGAAAATTCAAACTCTTGCTGTACTCCCAGAAAAATCCTGACTTCAAAACCAAATATTACTCTATCTAGGGAGGAATTGCTTAGGCAAGTGCAAAACAAAACTTGGCGTCAGCAAACTAAAAAAAAAAAAAAAAACCCCAAACAACTTCACTTTAAAAAAATGCAGATGTCTTATTATACTAAAATTAATAAAAAAATTAATTCAGAATGCTAGGGTTTTTACCCATTAATGTATGGAGGTCATATTTGAAATGCAAAGATGAATTCTGCTGATGAGTCGTGGGAAAAGCTGTTGCTCTTCATCAGAGAATTTCTTCATTCAAATTTGCTTCTCTAAGGCAAGCAGAATTTTTTTAATGTAATTTCCTGAGAAAACACAACACTTTCAGGGAATATCCCTCCTTAATCCCCATGCTCTTAAAGAGAGGGGCAAAAAAAGAATTTCTGAAAAACTGGCCACATTGTGTTTTAAATAAGATACAAATTGTTCAGAAGTTCCCAGACATCTTAGCTACACAGGATAAGTTTTGCCTTTCTCTCTTCTTACCTTGGTATTTTCTCTGCTGACTCTGTCTTCAAGTCTAAGCTATTTGCAAGGCGAATTCTATGTTCAGGTTATTTTTCATATGCACTATTATAATCCAGGCATGGCAAAACTTAAGACTCTTGCACATCATATAGATTTCTTTGAATAACTAAGTATTTCTGCTTAGGTTTTCTTCAGGGATCATACACAGATTTGCTAAAGCACGAGCATTTTGCCCTCTTCTCACTATTGAAAAGAACTGCTTCTACAGCGGGGCAATAAATCAATCTAAATCATGAGTGCCTGTGAAACATCACACTGGCTTCAGCATCTCTTAGTAAACCCATCTCACTTGAAAATAATCTCATTCTTACCATTTTGGCCTGCTTCCTTGTCTGCAAAAAAAAATGCAGGAAAAACACATTTCCAATCCTTAAATTGAAATCTTATGAGATTTTGAAGATCATATTAGATAGAGTTGAACACATCTTTGGCTAAAGCTCTAGGGTTTGCCGAACTCCTCTTATTACAGCAGCCTCTCAGAGTTCGGGTCTACGTTTTTAGCTCTTCAAGCTTCTCCTGATATAACTGAGAGAACAGCAGGGTAAGCACTGGCCAAGAAGTTCAGAAGTCGAGTGGAATTTTGCTCTGTAAATCTATCTGGAAATCTATTACAAGTCGTATTTCTTCTTTTGAAGGTCTGACTAGGTTGGCCAAAGAGAAGCCTCCCTGATGGTGTTTTGATGTGCCCACTGTGGGCGAGTAGGAAGAAATACAAACACATGACCTATGTGTTAAGTCTGGGCAATTTTTGCTCAACACTCTCCAAGGAGACAAGAAATTGTTTGTATTTTTTCCCAAGAGCAGCTGGCTCACTGCACACTGCCAACATTTTAACAATCCTCTAGCTCTGCTACATCTGTAGTTTCCTGGAAGGTCAATCAGGTGACAATTTCATCAGTAATAACAAAGCTACCATTTTCAGGAACTGTTCAGCTTTTTGCTAATGGAAAGAGCAGTTAACTGAACATACGTTCCAAGAAGATTTTAATAAAGTCTAGAAAGACATTTTATTTTCGGAAAATGCCTAATTCCAATTCTTACTAATGGGGACACTCCTCATAAAGGCCCAGTGTCTCGGAGTAGAATTGAGAGTCACAATCTCCTCAGAATTCAGAGCCTTCTGAGGTTCATATATAGGGAGAGCTCGATATTTATGAACACGCGATAATCTCAATTCCGTCTTCCACAACTTGAACTCCCCCGAAGAGTTTAAAAATCCGATTTTACTGAGCACCAGCAGGAACTCAGTGCATAGGTAGTGACGGTTACCTTTTCCCAATTGGCTTTTTCTTACCACTTGGCAGCAGCTCTCAAGTTCAGTCAGATGCACTGTGCCAGGGTCACAGATAAATGTTCCTGCTCTTCGCTAGGAATGAGTAAGCCCCATGGGGTGGTAGCACGTACAAACAGTAGCTGTTCCTCTGAGCAACTGCAAGGACTGGAACCCTGTTGCTTCTGTAGAGGCCTGCCTGTCTCGCGTGGAAAAGCAGCACCTGTAAGACCCTGAGTGACCCTAACCCAGCCCAGCTTTAAGGCACCCTTGCTCCACGGGGGCTCCCTGCACAGCTGCGTGGCTGCTTCCCCACCCCTAACGCAGCCAGGAGGGAAGATGGAGCTGCCCAAGCTGCTCGTCAGCAAGAGCCCCACGCAGGGCAAATCAGCGCCACTGGCATCCAAACCAAGCTGCCACTGAAAACTCGTCTTATTTTGCACAGGGCACATTGGTTAACAGATGAATATCCACTCCGAAATGAATGTAGAGATGTCATTTTTTTCTTTTTCCTTTTTAATTCTTTTTTTTCCCCTCAACTTGCCGGGAAAAAAACACAACAGTAAAGAGATTTCCATTGATTTAAAAGGTAGGACTATCCCACAATTCACACTGTATCTTCTGAGACACAGAGAGCCCTATTGCCTCAGCTCCATATTTCAGTTCCTATTTTTAACTGACATGGCAATGGTAAAGGTTATTCTTAAAATATTCCACTATTATCTCTGAGGAAGAATAGACACTATCAAAAGAAATACATGTCTCAGGCAGATAGAAACTCTAATTTGAATACTTTTTTGAAAGGCTGTGCTATTTAAGTTGTATGGCATTTATTTTTGTTCAAAACGGGCAAAACAACAGAGCTTTTAAGATCTCATGCGTTGCTGAAGACAGTTACTACTAACTGTGTGAAGGCCTTTTTACACTGCCATTTTCTCAATTCTTTGCTTTCTTCCTGGATTCTGTGGGTTTCAAGACTGACTGGTGAATCAAACTTTCCTCCTAAAAGATTAAACAGAAATGCCCTCAATATTTACAAGCGAGCCTCAGAGATACCAAAGCTGGACTGTAGACATTATTCATGGCAGCACTGCTGATGTTTCTGAGCTTTTGCTAGCACTGCAACACAGCAGAACTCCTGCACTGCCCATGTGGCTCTCGTGCACAAGTGCCCTGAGTTCTGAGAGCTTCTCTGCACACTCAATGCTCCGTGTGTTCGGAGCTAGACCTCTAAGCTACACCTTACTGAAAAAACCCACCACTCTGTTCATTGTCAGATTTTTTGAATCTTTTCCAGTCTATAGCGACATATATGGCTGGAAGCCAGCAAAATATTGCCCTTTTCTTCTCAGCAAATACCTGCATTTTCCCCATGAGAAAAACCTACCTGTGTCTTCATCAGGCTACTGGGCAGAGCTCTTTTTTCAGGAGGAGCCAATGGGAGTTGTGAAAATAGGACAGGCCTAACTGTGTCAAACACTACAGCAACTGCACAAGAGTCAGCAAAAAAAAAAAAAAAAAAAAGGCAAGAAGAAGATCATTGTAACTACATGGCTATGAAAGTTGATTTTTATCCATACCAACTGCCAGCGTCAACTGACGCCATTTTTTTCTGGTGTTGTCACCCAACGGTTGAAATTAATCTGCCTCTTAGTTTTCGAAAGCAGAAAAACATGTTACATTCCTGCATTTTTATTTCATGGGCAAAATACCCACCTAGCTGCCCATGCCAGCTATCACAGGCAGATGGGCTGAGCTTATGATCAACTGAAAGCTATGCAGTCACCTCCTCTTCTGGTTTCATTTTCTATCTTCTTTTCACCAATTTAGAAGTGATAACATAATGTTCCCTAAGATGAGAAGAATAAGATGGAAGAGAAATACAGCTTCACTAATGATATGGATCTCATGCAATGGAAGGGAAGTCCACTTTTAAACCAATGGAACTGAATTCCAGGCCAATTTGGAGACCACACCAGATGTGCATTGTCTTCAACTGGACAAGTCAAATTCTTCATTTTGTTTCAAAGAAAAAAATGTTGTATTGACTCAAGTCTGAGCCCATACAGCACTGACATAAAGCCAAATCCATGATGCATTAGCAAGCAAAAGATGGTGATGTCACCACAAATGTTATGAAATCACTATTTCCAAAACATGAAAGCAGAAAAACAGATTTACAGGAACCAGCCGGGCCAAGTTAAGATGTTTTGGTTTTGCATTTATGCGTATTTTTTAAGCAATGACCAATAAGTAAAGCCATTCAATTTGCAGCCCTAACGCTTGCTTTCCAGATTGAACATTAGTACGAAACACAGGCTAGATAAAATAGGACAGTTTCAGATCAAAACAACCAATTTCACTCAAGTAGTTCTCTGTATCTGTTTTTCATTTTTGTTCATATCAGGAGAGAGTTATTTCCACTTACTCATACCTCTGGGATTCAACTTTTTGCTTCTATCTTTACAGTCTTGGTACATTCATTACATGTTAAAGGGAATGGGGTGGAGGAGAGGAACAAATAATAGGTGAAGCTGCAGCAAATGGCACAAGGATACAGTCCCTTCCTGGAAAGAGGATTTTGTGGCGAACCATTTCTCCCATAATGCATCCCACAGACCATATATCCACTAAAACAGTAGAGACAGGGAAGTGAAGAAGGAGGAAAAAAAGCAAAGTTAACTAAGACATTGCAACTCCTAAAGGAGGGGAAAAAGAGCAGGTTGAACAGAACAGTACAGTTTGTGTTGGTTTCTTTTGTTGTTGTTGTTTCTTTCCCCCACACCTCAGCCAAAGCTCAATTCAGGCAGCTGAGGGGTAGCCAGCAACAGAGGAAGACATTTAAAACACCACTAGCGTTGGGAAAAAGGCCCACAGGTAGCAAGTAAAGTAACAGCCACGCAGACCTGTGGTTTGTGTGGAGCACTGGCTTGAAAACCAACAAACTAAGATGTTTCTTGAGAAGAAAAAAGCCAAGGCAAAAATAAATAAATATATGAGCACCCAGAGAGTGATCAGCTGGAAAGAATCACCCTTGCAGCCAGGCAGTGTGGGGGTTTTAACAGCCACTCATGGGAGGTGAAGGCTGTCCAGGTGACCACCATCCCACACGCTTATCTCAAGCTTCACTGTCTAGACCCAGGCTGCCTGAGACAGCTCTGCAGCCTAGTGCTGTCTGTAAAGAAACAGAGAGTGTGACCTGCGTGCACGCTGCTCTTGACTCCTTTGGTACTCAAACGCTCAACTAAATGAGTGCTTCAAGGGAAAGGTATCACCAGGATTAAGGATGTTTCTCATGTTCCTGATCCAGCTTTTAGGGGCAATGTGCCTAACTATGTATCGGTTGGACTTGGGTGCTTTTTCCTCCCCACTGTTCCAGTCTTACATTAAAAAAAAATCATAGAATCATAGGGAGACAGCGCACATGGAAAGAAAAGACTGGGATTCAATGTAAAGAGGAAAAACTGCTTTAGCAACTATCCTATTGCCCAGCTTTTTGAGCTATACAGTTAGTCTCTCCTCTTTTTCTTCTCCCTTTTATCCTTCCAAAACAAACAAAAACGAACTAAAGAAACAAGCAAACAACTTAGTTTTCCAGTAAAACAAAAGAAAGGCGAAATGTTCCATTTGGGAAAAGGGGGGTACGGGTACCAGGGGCGTAGGACAGCAAGAGCATGCCTGAGGTGGTGCTAGAGTTTTCTTCTCTGGTCATAATTATGCATCTTTAGCCAACCAAGTGCAGAAAGAAAACGAAAGCAGTGACCAAGGCCTTACACAGGCAGTGTACACAACGAAGGGGGAAAAAGGGGGGGAGCTTCAGTAATGTGGCAACATCGGCCAGAGCAGAGGAGCAAAAAGGACCCTTTGCGCTGCCCTCCCTGGGAACTGCATCGCAGCCGCAGAGCGGGCCGGATCCTCGGGTGCGCCCACCTTCATTTCCCCATGTTTTCTTCCACTGCTTATTGCTTTTATTTTCCCCTGGTACAACTGAAACACGGTTGTTTAGTCTCCAGGCATATTCACCGCCCACAAAAGCTGAAGAAAGCCCCTGTGCTACCTTCAGTGGGCACTTCATGGGGGCCTTTGGACATGCTGTATGGTTTTAGTATCTCTCCAGCTGGGCACTTCAGGTCACCACTGAACTTTCTTGCGCCATTTTAACACTATGAAAACTTTCTCTCTCCTCTCAGGGGCAGTAACAACAACAATAAGCACTTAATGCTTGGAGAGAAAATAAGTAAAATAACCCATTTCACAATCGGTGGAATGCTGGATATCTGGACTAAGAAACTAGAGCCAACATGCTGAGTCTACTGCAGGTTTCCAATGGCAGGCATCAAAATCATCAAGATAAAATACTTGGAAGATCTTCCTGTTTTTCAGCCATTATTGTGAATGGTTAGATTCTGCGTGTTAATTCTCTAGTATTACAATTTCATGTTAAAGCCCATGTTTTAAATTCATAAATATCACACATAATTCATGTAAAGACTTCCTGATTTTAGAAGAGGTTTTGTGAGCATGTCTACACAGTTTCCTAAGCAAAGGAATGAGTTCCAGAACCAAGGTTCCTTCCACTGGCCCTCTTTGAATGCAGCTAGCTATTAATCAAAGGTGTTTTTATTTTTCTTTCTTTTTTTTTGCATGTGAATTAGTCTCTTCAACTTGCAATAAGTAGGACATTTAAAACAAATTCCTACTTTTGAGGCTCTGCTGTGTTACCCTAACAGCTGCCATCAAAAACTTCCTTATTGAACAGAAAAAGGGTAGCTTTTGGCAGCACAATCTGAGCCATAGTGCATTTTCTCCACTATGTGCTGTGTTCCCTTCTTTTCTGGCACTTGGATGTTTTTCTCAGCTTGATTACAAAAGGAGAGACACTTAGAAAATAAAGCTTGCCCTTTATCTCTTGCAAAGCATGGACTCCTCCTTACCTACTTCTCTCTATAGTGAGTGCTCCCTAACTGCTTTCTGCAGTCTTTCGAGGGACCAGGAGATAGTAGATAGAGCAGCCTGTTAACAGCAAAACTACAGCTACATGCATAGGAAATTATATACAGATTACATGCATGTTTTCAGGTTCACTTTTTTTTTTTTTTTTTTTTTTTAGCAGATGTCTCCCAATCAAATCTAGTTGAAAAAGAGTCTTAGAGCTGTAATCTTAGATACTGACTATAAGAAATCTGCAAGCAAAACTTCAGATCTTGGTTCAACAGAAAATGTTCCTGAAATTCAAATCTAGCTGCAGATTCAGAAATTGCACCGTTTCAACCTGCACCCTTTCTTTCTCCCTCAAACAATTCCAAAGCCCAGACCCAAATTTAAACATTTAAAACACTCCGTGATCCTAACAATTGCGAAACCATTTCATTGCCACACAAGTCAAACACATTCTGCTCAGAAAATGTTACTAACACTTAATTAGTTCAGAAGTGACCAATCTTAGGCTTCCCACTAGCCTGTAATCCCGCACTGTTACCTTTACCCAAATGACATCCCAAATACAGGCCGTAGCTGCAGTAAGCAGCTGTGAGAAACGGCTCTCAATCACGGGCCTTTTAAATTCAAGATGTCATTTCCTGTGACATTTTCTCCTTCTGGTGCCCCTTAAAGCTGTGAGGGCAGATCTTAAACTTCAGGTCACACCGTGTTTGCTATGAAATTGCAGCCCTACCGTTCTCCTTGTAGCCCATTCCCAAGATGACCTCTGGTGCTCTGTAGTAACGTGTCACTACGTACGGAGTCATCATGAAGCTCGTGCCTGCCGTCCTAGCCAGCCCAAAATCCAAAATCTTCAATGTGCAGTCAGACTTGACCACAATATTACTTGGTTTTAAATCCTGTAAAAGACAGGGAAAAGAGGTATGTTTGTCCTTTATAAAGTCAGGGAGTCTTGCTGATCTACATCAGCATTTCAGGTCACCCTTTAAACATATTCTAATTAATTGCTGGAACACCCTATACTCCCCTGACCCTGGCAGTGACAGTAGAAGTCACTGTTGAGTACATGGCACTCACATTTGCTCCAGTTTCTCTAGCAACACCTTCTGGGAGATATTCCATACTGATATACGTGGGGACCTTATCTGGATGATGGTAGCCCACCGATATGAAACTAACTCCATCTAATAACTCCAGGAAACAAGCGGAATATTAGAGTATTATTTTAAGTATTCCTTTGCCCTGCAACCCTAATAAAGACATTCCAAGTGCACATGTGAAGGTAATTTAATGCTACATTCACAGCAATGATTCAACTCACCTTTCCTTGAAGGGTGTCTTCAAGGCTAATCTATCATCTGTCTCTCTATATAGGTCATCCTGAGAAAGGGGACTTCTGTACACTAAAAAGCAGCATCCAGCTTTTCTATCAACCCTGCTGCTCTCCTTTTTGTAAGGAAGGGTGACATCTTCTAGTTTTAGCTCTTTCACAAACTCTGGCATGGCGAAACATGCCTTTAGCAGACACAGCGCTCTTAGATGGAAAATTAAAATGACAAGATCCATTTAATATCTACTTAGCACTCTTTTAGCCTATTGTAGTGTATGTAAATGATAGCAATAGACAATTCTCTCCGAACCTTTATCAATCATTACTTTGACCACACGACATCATGAATTCAATTTGCATGTTACTCATGGCTGACATACCCAGCTACACTTTCTAGAGGAAAAACATTACTCTAAATCTGTTTCAGAGATCTTGATCACTTTGGTGATACCCACTGCTTATTTATTGCTTGAAAGCTTTTGCTTGACCTTTTTGTCAGCTGATTAAGCTGACAAACCATCTCATTCCTAACACAAACATGAAGGTACTTTGCTAAGGAGGTGAGCTATGGCTAATACATTTTACTTAAGATATAGGGTTTTGATCCCCAGTATACATAAACCTCCACCTGTTTCTGAAGTCTTCACGACGGTGTGATTTGGTGCTCTAAGTTTCAAACCACATCCCTTACCCTATGAATAATTCCTGCAGAGTGAAGATGCTTGATGCCACACAGCATTTGGTACAGTAGATAAGACATTCGTTCATGGTCCAGCTCCATCTGAATGACTTGGCACAGATTGGCATCCATTAGCTCCATAACCAGGTAACTTAAGGAAAAAGCAAAGTCAGGGGGTTATTGCCTTTGCTACAGAGCAACCAGAGTACAGTCTGTGAGAAGCAACGTCTTTTCTTGTTTCAAAACTTATTCCTGGTGAAAGATGCTAACAGCTGGGTAATTGCTTACCTTGGAACCTGCTAGCAACTATATCTTAATGTAGCTGGTCTCTTATCGAGAGATAAAAAACTTGATTATTGTGTGAGCAGCACGACTTATCATATAACATTTAGGTCATCTTCTCTACTGTGCATATGTCTGCAATGACAACATGATACAGAAGATGCATGTACCAAGACCAGGCTGGCTCTCAGTCAACTCCAACCGTGGCTGTCTAATCAGCACTGATACTGGAGTATTGAAGCAAACTGTGAAGACTGAAAGCAGTACAGCTACATGAAGCTTGCTTTCCCACGCACACTACTTGTGCAACAGGATGATATTCAGCCGAGACTCCAGTTAACCCCTAAACCACCAGTAGCCCAAGAAGGTATTTTTATGCAGTCAAAGGTTATTACGAAGTGAAAGGTTATTACAAATATGAAAGACAGAGACAGTGTCACAGTAGGAAATTATTTCCAAGTCAGGTTCTGTATTTCAAAACCTCACCCACCTCTGGGAGTTATATGACAGCAATCATTTCCCCAACACACTAACAACACAGAAGAACATAACATAGGTCCTTTCAGCCGTCCATAATCCTTTACTGCAGGTAAAAGCAAATACACTCTAACCCTCTCAAGAAGAGCCACCAGCAGCTTTGGCAGCCTTACAGCACACAGGTAACCACAAATAGGCAACCAGGTAACCACAAATACTCCCTGACACCTGATACATGTCAAAACACTCTGAATATAGATGCAGAATATAAATGAATATAAATGCCGACTATCCAGTTATCTGCAGCATAACCTACACAAGGTCATTTTTAGAGGGGCTCACATCTTACATTTTTTCAGGGTATTATGCTGTTCGTGGTACTACCCCTCATGTCTCTAAAGCTTAAGTTTTAATTACTGCCTATGCTACTTACACATCCTGGAACTCCTCCAGAGATTTCTGTGGTGTGAAGACATTTAATAAACTGATAATCTGAAAAGCAAGCAAGACAAAAGGAGGAAGAGAATATTATATAAGCAGCTGAATCCATTTTGAAATATACATTAAACTCTATTCTTCACTGCTCAATTTATACTAGCAAGTCCTGTTTCATGAACAGGATTCATGAAGTCCTGATTCATCAATCAATAGAAAGCTGGCAACGTTCTTAATAGAGTATGTCAAATCTCTAAGAGTTCTTTGAGGAGCACTGGAAATAATTTTGGGGGAGAAGGATTAGGGAACATCACTGACAAGCCAAAATGCTAAGGGTGAGTCATTCCACCATCACCTTCCTAGCGTTTACAAAAATGCTTGAACAGTCTGTCTGTTCCACATACTGTAACTCATTCCCTGCTTCAACACGTGTCTCCCAAGCTCTCCTTACTACCTTTCCAAGCAAATACCTACAAGTTGCATTCAACAGATGCTGTATTAATAATTCTTATGCAGCTGTTCTTAAATGGTTTTTTTAAATGACTCCTGACTCTGCATCCTTCCGCCCTTACCAGAAGTCAGAGCACAAGCGAGAAGGTAACGTTCTCTTGCCTGCATGGATGATCACTTGCTCATCCCTGCATTTTCAAAGCCCCACACACTGGTCCAAGTCAGGGTAGTTTCCATTTAGGACAAGAGGCAGGTATTGTGTTGACCAACACAGTGACCAACACAGCAATTTTAGAAGAATCAGCATAGCGATGGTTCAAATGCATCAAATATATCCGTATGATACCAGGTTTCCCGTGCAGTTCTGAACGGAAAGGGATGCTCACACATGCTCATTCTGACTCAAGAAGCACTGCTTTAAATCACAAAACCCAGCAACAAGAAGATGCAGCAAAAATTCTAGCAATTACCTAAGTGCTTCTGGAAGAGGAATAAATGAGAAGCTATTTTGCTCCATCCCCTCAACCCTACACAGCTACATCAACATTTGCTATCACCTTTACAGGGGTACATGACAGACTCTCATTCTCCTACATGAGCACGCATTATCAGACCATATTTTTCCTTTGAAAAGAGTTCTTTTTTAACTGGAGTTCAAAACGGGAGTTTTTTAAGGAGGCATCCAACTGAGAAGTTTTCCTTCGAACAAAAAGAAATGCAAACTGTTTCTCTGGTTCCCTGCAGAAGACTTACATTTTTATGATTCACACACTTCATGAGGACCAGCTCCCTGTAAGCTCGCTTGGCGTGAGTTTGGTTCTGGAACGGTCTGCTGAGCTTCTTAATGGCCACATTTCTGTCGAGGATGGCATCATAGGCAGCACTGCAACAATTACAAACACAAGGGTGATACGTTTGAGAGGATATTCAATTGTACAGGCAAAATCCTGAGCATGAAGTTTACTGTTCCCTCAAGAAAAAAAATATATGAGGACAAGAGCAGAGCACCTAGTGGAAGAAAAGGTGGCACCAACAGGAACCACCTAGAAGCTGAAAAGCACCACGACTTCCAACCTCCAGTTTCTTAGGGAACTAACCTCTATTTTCAAGGAGGGGCAGTAAGTATTAAAAAGCTTCCAATAAAAACACAGCAAAAAACGGATGCTATTGCAGAAAAAAAGAGAAAGTGCTTCATAAAACAATTTCTTCTCTGTGTAGTGAGTATAACGGAGAGGATTTTGCCTTTTCTGTCCAAATTAAGGAAGCCTTTGCTGAATGGTTCAGTGACCAATTGCCCAACTGGTATGCAGAAAATTTTCTTTTTTCCTTATGTTAATTCCAATGGAATGAAGTTATTCAACATGCTTCTACACTATATCAACAGATTCCAATGACACAGCTCCTGAAAAGAGAACCGTTACACTGTATTTATTACTCCTTTTCTATAATTAAAAAAATATTAAATATGCTTTAGATGAAACTACTGACTGCCTGAAGAAAATGAAAAGACACCAGAAAATACTGGCTCTTGTTTGCAAAGGGAGCTCTTAAAACTCTTAAAAACCTCCTCTAACTTTTAAGTGTTGCACAGTCCTCAGAGGTTTTGATAGAGGCTACCATGTGTAGACCCTGAACCACTTGTGTTCTGGTGGTTCAAATCCAACTATGCAAAATCATGACTTTGCTCTGTTTATATAAACAGTACTTTTTGAAAACGTTGCCCAACAAAACAGCAATAATTTGTTATCAATAATCTTTAGACTAAATAAAGATATAAAGATATAAAGAATAATTTGTTATAAATAATCTTTAGGCTAAATAAAAGATAATTTGTTATAAATAATCTTTAATCTTTTCCTGATTCTCTCAAGGACCAAGAAAGACCTGGCACAAAGGCTGCGCTACTCAAAGACGATCATTTCCCAAGAGATCAATCACCTGAGTCAACAGTTGCCATCACAACTGTGGACGGGTAACTGGAGCACCAATATCCTGAAATTCAAACACTGTGACAGAACACAGTGTGGGCATGTGAGGAGAACAGCAATGTGGGTGATGTCCTTTAATGTCAGAAACCTAATGCTAGGCACAAAGCCCCGTCAAAACTGACCACTCATTACCAGAGTCTCAGTTGATTACTAGAGATGATTGGGAAGGCTTTAACAAATGGTTTATTCAACTGCAATATCTGTTTTTTTCCAATTGTCAGGAAGTTCTCTCAAGATTTTCACATGATAATATTTCCTATTTAAATGATTTATAATAAAAAAGGTAAACATAATATGGAACATAAAATCATCTGATGATACACACTGTTGTTGATCCCATCCTCACATTGCCCACATTATGTTTCTCCTCCTTGGCCTGAGCGTTTTTCCTACATATTTTCATTCATTTTTCAGAATTTCATAGCTCATCTACACACACAAATGTTTTAGTGTCATTTTTGACAATTATTGGGGAGAAGGCAAATGTTTTCAGCATCCAGCTCTTCGGTCATCTGATAATTTAAACTCACTGGAGAGGCCAAATAGTAAACCTGCAATTTTGCCTTACTTCTCATACGAGTCTTCTTGCTGGTGCTTGTGTATACTCACATTCTCTTTTAGGTCAGTTCATGCAAAGCAAGGTGAACTAGGAAACTTAAACACATGTAATTCCCTACAGCTAGTTTAAAAAACCAAAAACAAACTACATCAGATGCATCTGAGCAATGCAGAATTATTTTGAAAGATTTAAATTATTTTCCTGATTGCTATATACTAATCATGTTGGTTACATAATAAAACTAACGATGGGGAGACAGAAAATGCTACACCTGAAAACAGAGAAGAGCATCCTTAGAACATCCTACCTTAAAAATAACTATCTCATCTTATTGCTCTACCAAAAAAACTATTACTGTGTTTTTTTTTTTTTAATAAAGGTTAATTAACTTGACTTAACCGCAAACCTACTCTATTTCCTGCCTTCCACAATAAACCCCTCCAAAAGCCTCAACGATCTATTTTTTGGATAAGTGGACATACACTATTCATTAAAGTACAGGTGATTTAAAGATTTAAGGCTTCTGTCTGAAAATGCAGGAAAAGAGTTAAAAAAAAAAAAAAGAAATGACTCATTATGACAGCATAATTTCACTTACTGAAATGGGAATATGCAACTCAAACAGGCAAATATAGCCACAGCCAGAAGAAACTCATCTTTGTCTAGATAATTATCAACAAAACTGGTTCGGAGATGCAGATGCACTCATGTTTTTTCCTAAAAGAGCACAAGCAAAGAAGCCCAGGCCAAGAAACCATCCATTCCCTTCACACACACCCATACGGGGCTCTATTAGGCTCATCTCCATGGCTGGGACATCTGCTGTGCAATTCTGAACCCGTATTCTGTTCACAGCACCAGGTTCCGCTTGCTCGGCCCCAACGCTTGCGATGCCAAGGCCCTGCAGCTCTCCCCACTACAAGGAATCTGGGAGGCACAAAGAGACTTGTATTTCTAATGACAACAAGGTTTTAAAACTTCAATGCCCAATGTATTTTACAGCTCCATCATGAGGCTCCTCCTGTCCTTCCAACCTGCAGATGAGTGGCTCAAGAGACACTCAGCACTTAATACGCCAACATAAGAGAAGGTGGACAAAAGACAAGGCTAGAATACTTTTTTTTCAGGAAACCAATCTTCACGAACAGTTTAACTAACATCTGTCAGAGGCAGCTCCACATAAGCTGTAATTTCTCAAATTATACCATTGAGTAATATAATAAATAACATAAATAACTTTGCTGCTCAAGAAAGCCTACTAAGATAAAAGAGGGTCTGGAATAAAATACAGAAACTGGAATAAAATCTAGATTGAGCTGACCTAACTCAGACATCCAGCCTCATGCCTTTCTGGCTGACGTTACACTACTACATCCCTGCAATTCTCATCTAGAGTCTGAGGCCTGACCATGCACTGAGAAGTCTCCCACAGCAAGCACCATTTTCATCTGGTGATAAAAAGAAAAAAAAAAAAGAAAAAAAAAAAAAAAAAGACTATTTTCAGTTTTAAGTATGTTTATAGACTTCTCATAAGTATATAATATGCTGAATGGTCTATACTTACTCTTTGAGGGTGAGTCAGCTCTAGAATGATTTTCTCAAGAGAACTGCAAAATCTGTACTTCTTGCTCATGCATTTATCTTATCACTAATTCAAGAGATAGTCTGCTAGATGTCAAAAACTTTGTGATTGCCAACTTAGCAAACTGTATCTGGTCAGTTAAAGAAGGGTGAAGGACAGTCCTGCAAGGCTGGAACACCAGTTCATGGTCTTCTGGAAGGGAATAAAGTCCAGGAGGCTGATGTGCAGCTTAGTCCAACCCTGACACTACCTCAACCAACCTGAGTTGCTTTAGTTCACTCAGTATCTACTCTGGCTTGTACACAGGGCCATCCCTGACACAGGAAAGGCCCAAGGAGCTGGTAACTTGCAAGGATACAAGCTGGATACATGCTGTATACCTAGCTGAAATGCCCTTCAACAGCAGCACAGCAATAAAGTACTTACAGTTTAGGAATGACCTGCTACACCAGAAAGCATCAGAAATTTCATAACATAGTTCAAGATTTTTCTTTTTTTTTTTTTTTAATAGAAACTCTAGTTCTTCTTGTGGCTCCTGACGAATTACTGGCTGCAGAAACACAGAACATGTTTTCAGTCTGTGAAGCCTGGATGGAGAAATATGATCCCATGAGCTCAAGAGAAAGAAAGGACTCTCTGGTACCTCCTCTGGAGAGAAAACACTAAGTTCAGTGCTGATAGGATTTTCAGTTAATGGAGTTTGGAGCTAACTTTGAATTTTGTTAGGAAGGACTGCAATGCAACGACAGCAGCAAATCCCAAACCTGATTTCTTGCTTGCGGTGACGTTTGTCTGCTACTGACTTGCAAGTAAAGACCACCTGAGACAACAAGAGAAGCCAAAAGTTTTGAAAATCTGCCTTATATATCAAGGTGTGAGAATGAGATAGAGCCAATGTGAGTAAAGGGAGGAGACAATGACCAAAAGGTCGTACTTGACAGGAAAGGAGCACTGAGGGGCTCTTCAGCTGGGAGGGCAATTGAAAACTGCCACTAACCCATTAGCCAGAAATGTAAAATGAGTTGGCATCAGCCACCACAAAAACAGTAATCAGATTTTGCTTGCTAAGTTTTAGTAGTCATGGAAAAGCTGGAGATTATTGAAGGCAAGAGAAGAAAATGGCCACTCAGAGATGCAGGCAATGCAAGTACATCAGAGCCTGGGTCGCTGATCTCTCTGCTGGCAGGCAGTACTGTGGCATGTTTTATTGCAGACCACTTGCTATTGCCACAATTCAAATCATGTTTTGGATTTTTGCATACCAGGAAGGGGAGATGAGACACGACTAGATAAACATGAAATACAGGGCGACTTCGTTCCTACCAGAAATGTAGTTAGGTACCAGAAGGGCATTGCAAAAAAGAAATATTTTTTGTCAAATAAATACACATCAGCCTGTATGTTTTTTTTAACCACTTTAAACTTTTAAGGAGAAAAAGTATCTATTTTTTGCTGCAACAATTTATCTCATGTAACTCTGCCACTCAAAAATTATCCTATCTCAAGTCCATTTATGCACTACTACCAAGTATTTTGTTTTCTACTTCTTCCTCTCTTTTACTGAAGGTCTTTGGAGACAAAAGAAGTTACCAGAATCAAAGCAACCAAAGAATAGGAGCTCTTTATGTCCAAATACAATTAACTCAATTAGCTGTTGGTTCACTCTTCTCCTGTATTACGGGTAGTTTGCTGGCTGCTCTCTTACACGCTCAGGGAAGTCTTCTACACCAGGCGGAGGTACTTGTGTCACTGGTGAGAACACCCCAAGCTATCCCTCGCTCTCTCCTCACGGCTAAGCCAACTGCCTCTGAGGATGTACAGCTGTGAGGCTTCTAACAACAGGACAATCACCCGGCCAACTCAGATTAAGCGCCTTGGCTCCAATATTCCTTTAGGACAAGAGCCCAGGTCTGCAGAGATATAGCATCGTCGCAAGGCTTGACATGTGCTGCCCATTTACTTATGTTTTCAGCATTAATTTTCAGCATTAAGGAACTTCTCAAAGTGAAAAAAGAAAATCTAACAATAGCTTAAACAGTGCATTCTTAGGGAGAAAAAGTCTCACCAGGTGTTACCACTGTGTGGGTTAGTATTAGTGTTGGGGAGACACCAGAGAATTTGTTTAAACTGCTATGCTCATTTCACTGACAGAAAGAGTAATAGCTCCCAGTAAAACCTGACATCTATTTTCTATGTTCCTCTCATACAAAACACTTAGTAAAGCCCTCTGAAGGGTCTCTTCAAAAACCTCCTCGGGAGAGGACTGTCAAAGCACATCAGCAGAAGCACACGACAGCATGGGAAAGGAAACACAGGCTGAACTAATGGATACAATGGCGAATCTTTAAGAGAACAAGCTGAACCCACAGCACCATCCAACAGAATTTTAAGCACAAAAAGCCATCCTGATTTGCCTGTGTGACCGAAACGTAGCTACCTGACCTCAGGGACGTATGCTGTGCATTGCTTTGCAGGAACAACTGTGACTGATCACATTAACAGTGCCACCCTTTTCAGAGCCAGGAAATTTCAAGAGCAAGTACATCTGGGGACAGCGGTCACTTGGTATTTCTTGTGAATGAAATGTGTTCTTTCATCTTTTGATAGTTAGCGACGTAGCCCTTGGCTCCAACGCGCTGGAACTTCAAAGGAACTAGGCTCCTTTATGCAAGCAGCAATGTAGGTATCTACCAATGCATATGGCATTTTCATTCAGTGGCACAAAAAGAAACCAAGGCAACATAACTGGAATGGCACAGTAATGATGGAGAAAAATACTCATCTCTCAGCTTTATTCTATCATGTTTAGCTCAGCAAGGGCAATAAGTTTGTGCACAGACTGTAAGACTAGGATATCTTCACCCTACTCTCTTTTACACTAGGCCAGAGCAAAAGCATCATCTATTCTTCTTTGATCAGAGGAGTTTGGGATAGGGTGTCAAGTTCCTCTTTTGTGGCAAACTCAAGTGCAACATCTCTAAGGAGAACACATGTGTTGCTATATAAGGAAGCAGACTAGTGCAGAACAAACACTGACAGGATTTAATAAGGAAATCACATTTCTTTCCCAAAGCTGATTTAGCACTACCCTCTAGTCCTTTCATGTTAAAGACAGAACATCAAGTGGTACTAATGACAGCTAGTGTGTTTGTGTCTTTTGTCTGCATTATTGAGATGTCTTTTGAAAAATAAAGGAGACCTTAGCAGTTATCTCAATTCTTAAGCCGTCCATTCAAAAGGCCTGAACATGCCATAGGGTATGACCCGTTTCTCTCAGACTTTTACTGTACGTAAAATTACATGGCTTCCTTGGGATATAATTTGCAATGCCTCTGGAAATAGTGCCACAGTTGTCAAATATGATAAAATCTTTCTCCTGCTTTTTGCTAGTTGCTTCTTGCTGTGTGCAGAAATCAATCCAATGCTATCAAGAAAGCAAGAGAATTTATCAGAGAGCAGTTAGGCTCCTTTTGCCTCAGGCAATCTATTATTTGACTATTATTTTTGCAATTTTAGACAGTGTCTCTGGCTAATAAACCAAAGATGCAAAAGGCAAATCCCAACAAAAAGCATAGGAGAGATGTTGTTACTTACCAAACTATTCCCTGAGCCCCGGAGCCAATAGGTTTCAAGTTTTGGTAGCGTTTGAGAACTGTGAAGGTCGAGTCACCTACTTCCACACTGTAGAACTGGTTGTCAACTTTGCTTTTGCTCATGTTGTAATGTTTGGCAACGTATGACACATCCACTTGTTTCCCAAATCCCTGTTGTGAAGAAAGGAAGGTGAAAACACAAAAACTAATGTCAGTAAAGCATCACTTAATATTAACGAAACACAGACTGATCATTTTTCCAATATGAATTCCTTTTGTTTTAGGGCAAATTAACAATTTTATGGCTGCTAGTGAGCTTGATTCACTGCAGAATATAAAGAGGAAAATATACAATATTTCTTAGATGAAAAATACAATTAAAAGGTTCCAACTACAAACACCGTATACACATATGCTGAAGTTCAGCATGTTACAGATCTGTCCTCATGCAGTTGATAACACACTCATGGAAAGCCAACAGTTTTCCAAATACTTTCTCCAGGCATTTTCACTGCTTATGCATTTCTCTCTCTCTCTCTGCAGGTTAATTTTTAGTGCTCTCAAATGTGGCTTTGCTGTTTTCTTACTTGCTTTTCCACAAATCCTGACTTATCAACCACGTTATGTGACTATGTAACACTACATCAAATTCTGATGGACCAGAGAAAAGACGCTTTGGAGAATATTATTTTTCCCTTTGAAAAAGACATAAAGCCAGTGTTCCATAGAGCTGGTGATTCACAAGAGAGAACTGACCTTGCTGAAATCTGGGCTTCTTGGGTTGCCTTGGATGATTAATATTCTAACCATCATCTCACTGGAATGACCACTCTCATTGGACAGCACTGCTTTAATTCTAACTGCCTCATTTAGAGAATTCATTGCAACCATTCTAAGAAATGCAGCTGTCCATTCAAACAGAAAACACCATCTCAGAAAAGCAATTAGAAGCATTACAGGTACTCATGAACCAGACACAGGGCCCAGAATGTATTATGAAGCACAGAAGCTAAGGTATTTTGGGACACTGACACAACGTGAAATTCAAGTACAAGACTGTGAAAGATTCTGAGAAGGGTTTCTGTCATCTGAAGGAGGAAGAAGGAAGGAAGACTGCACCTGATTTGTGCTGTGTAGCCCTAGTCTTAACGCTCCTTACACTTGGGAAGAGAGATGCAGGCATTTGGTTAGCTCACTTACTCACAGGAAACCTGGAACTGGGAGGCTGCATTTTAATGTTATGCTCTTGATAGGCAAGCAATAATCCCAGCTACCTCTGGCTAGACAAGCACACGTGCAGCCTGTTTTGCTTTGATCTCATTATCAGAGCAGCACAGACAACACTCAGCGTCACCAAGGCATGTTACGGAGAGAGCAGCGTATTAACGGCGTTCCTGCCTGGAGCCGGCTCCCCTGCAAGCGCAGATCTGGGGACTGTCTGGAACAAGGGAGGGGACTGCACGTATTTGTGGCTCAGCCACAGCTTCCAGGGGGGCTCGTTTGCTCCCTTACTCACGAGACATCCACACTGAGTCTTGGGGTCTAAAGATACAAGGGAGAAGGTTTCTGAATGAGACTCATCCATGAACTGGTGGCCCAAGGAATTTTGTGCCAGATAAGATGCAACTGCTAAGCTCCTGCAGGTGTTTATTTTCAGTCCAGGAAAGCCTTAAAATCCATTAAAACAGCCCCGAAGACGCCGTCTGCACTATCTCAGTCGTTTGGGTAATTAATGCATGCAATTGCCTCAGTCATTTCCAGAGCAATTAAAGGGCTGTTGATGGAGAGGCCGCAGAGGAGCAGAGCTGGCAGGATCTGGCTGGAGCGCACGCGTGCCCTGATAAGCAGCTGCACTCTGCCTAAGATAGACCCTGCCTGCAAATATCTTATCGCTGTGAAGAGCAAACCCGAGGGATTATTTTCCACTGAGTTCTTGGTTTCACTTCTGGAATAACATTTCTTCAAAATCTGTCGTCTTAAAATCCTGTGGGCTGTATAAGGAACTTGGATGGGAGAGACCGACACCAAGGAACATTTTTGAGACAGGCTGGTTTTCTCAAAGCTTCTTTCTGAGCAAAACGCCGACTGTGAGCGGCAAATGCCCAAACGCCTCAGCTTGGTAGGCAGGGCAGGCAGACCCCAGGTCATTTACTCATTTGCTTCCTCCCTTTAAGCCCATGTGCCTGTAAAAACACCACCACCATTCTATTTTTCTCAAAGGCTAAACAAGCAAAATTAAAGACACCATAAACCTAGCGTTGTACGCTCAATATGCTGCGGACTTTTTTTAAGAATAAGGGAATCATTATTCTTGTCACAATTATAATTTAACCTTAATTTCTAAGTCAATGAATTAACGGTGTTATTGAATTAATCATGTTTCATTAGATCTCCAAATCGAGATGACACATAATCAAATCACAGACTATCTCTGAATCAATACAACGGGTGCTTACTAAATCAGGACAATGAAGCACCTGTTTTGTTTGCTCTAGAATCTATCACTCATCTACAATTTATACTTTTATTCAAAAAGCTTTGCCCTTAGGAACACAGTTCCTTAAAAGAGCACGTCAATGCTATTTCAGTTTCTAAGTATGATTAAAAAGGTTCTTTTTCTAAAGCAGTCTTCAGACCCATGGCTGGTGGTGGCACCATGGTGATCTACCACCAATTGTTTTGTTTTTCTTTTTACACTCTCACTGCTCACCCAGGCTCTTCTGGAAGTCTCATTGTCGCCACAGCAAAATGAATTCCCCAACAGTTAATAACTTCTCAGATAAACTCCACATGAATTGGGACCAAGCTACAATATTGGTGCCCCAGTGTAATGGTAAAAGATTGAAAATATTAAATCATTTAACTGAAAGCATTTCTCCATCCTCCCTCTTCACTGAGGCAAACAAACACTTAGTTTCAGAGACCTCCGTCAATAACCACGTAACATGAAAAATTATTCTGGAGGGACAGAGGACACATCTGTGCAGCAGATGTTCTTGGCTTCCATGAACATTTGGGCAGCGGATTTACACTGAATGGCACTGGACTTCCATTCTGCATGTGCAAGCATGCGTACACTCTGATTTTTATTTATTTATCTTTTTTTAAAACCAGTAACTTGTTGCAAACTTGGAATACACATATAACACTCTTCTCATTCCTCCACACTGCCCAACTTGGAGTAAAACAAGGAAAACGTTTTTCCAAAACTGACTACACAGCTATCAAATCCGTAACACTTACACGCATGCCCATGTCTGCAAATTTATGTGCCCAAACTGCCAACAACTGTCATGGGGAAATTCTATCAGTCTCTCTAGCATCTCTGTCCTAGACCCTAGATGCAACCTGCCCTGCTATGGAGAACTCAGCCTTTCACATTGCCAGTCTGGCCCTTGTGAACACTTGACCTTTCATCAGTTGATTCTAGATCATAAGAATTTTTATTTTATTTGGCACGTGCAGTCTGTATAAAAAAAGACCTGATTATTATATGGACTCCAACATTCTCATCTGTTTTTAAACACACTGTCTTGGTTCAACTACCTTTAAAATTCAGTAGCTTCAAAACTGGCCGCTACCTGGTTCTGATTATAAAAACAAACAGGATTGCCTTCTGTTTCCTGTCCTCTGGTATCCCCTGAAAATATCAAGTGCCATTTAAATATGTTTTACTTATTCCCCACATTTTCAATGAGCTTTAACCACCTGTAATTGCTTCCTACCAAAATTTCCTTACTTCATTCGCAATTGTGGCATCGCACAGAAACACAATGAGAAAAGATTTCTTGACACAGGAACTTGCACAGTGTTCCAAATAAAAGAGGCAGCCAAAATGACTGGAAAAAAAGGACCTAAGAGGATATGAGAAAGTACATGGAGACACCTCCTTCAGGCACAGCTCCAGAGACGGGAAGCTAGCAGAGGTGCAAGTGGAGTAAGGAGCACACGGTGACAGCAGCAGCTATATCTAACTGGCAAGAAAAATCAGGAGAGAGGAATCCCTGCCACTTGTACTAATGGGTTTGTTCTAAGGCTCCAGATGTGAAAATGAAACTGTAACAGAGGAAGAAACAAGATGCAATTAAGATTAAGGGAGAGAAATGGGACAAGCAGAGTTTGGCCAGCACTGCAGCCCTCAAAGCAGCGTGTTTCTCAATACCATTATGGGAGCGCAGGAACACGGTGTGTTAGGAGCACTGCACAAGATAGGATGGAATGAATAACTGCTCTTATGTACTGCACATATTGAAAATAAAGGATACTTCAAATAGCTTGAATTTCTCAAAAAAGTAAGTTGACATGGGAATACTTGGTGCCCTTTAGGAAACTGTCTTCCACAAATGTATGGTGGCAAGAAATACAACTGGCCACGTGACGCGCTGCGCCTCCATAGGTATCACATCTTCCTTGAAAAAGGAGTGCATGCAAGAGGCCCTGTCACAACAGCAGCACGGATTAACCACTCCAAAAATTCAATTTCTCACTACAATTAAGTAATTAGAGTATTCACCATGTAGACAATAGCCGAAAGATACTCCCTTTCCTAAGTCTAAAAGAATAATTGTACCTTGTTTAGAAATAGGACAGGTTTTGATTTTACAGTATGATTCTAGTCCTTTAAATCGAAGACACAGGTCAGTGCTTGTCTCATGGTTTATGAATGCCAATTCCTCTGCCGTTGAAGGCATAATTACAGCACGTTCTGCATCGAGGCAATTTCTTTAATGATCAAAGTAGAAACTTCATCTAACCTGATTAAGACGTCAGTGGCAATTAAAGCGGTTTATCAAAATTAAGATACAGTTCAAAAACAGGTGAGATGAGCTCAATCAATGAAGAGCAACACAATTATTAACAGTCCTGGTGGTCTCTGATGGTAAAAGGAAAGGCTTTCTAAAAATGCTGTGATTTTCAAATGGGCATTAGTGCAAAGATTGCAATACAATATGTATTCCTATACATATGAATATGGCCAAAGAAAAAAGGCCTCAATAGAAACTGAACGTTTGTTGTTCTCGTTTTGAAGCACGAATTGAGTTACGTTTGAAAAAAAAAGTCACCCTAAAAATTAATTCTAGGGGTCTCTTTTGGTGGCATCGGTGCAGCAACAACTCCCATTCCAAAAACATCAGCATGTTGTGTGGGGTATCAAACAACTTCAATTGTGTGATAAAGACTAACGCCCATGTCATACCTAGGAATGAGAATGTCACTATGCACCGATTAGTATTTTCTTCATGTGCACAGTCAGGTCCCAGATAACTGATCTCAGTTATCTCATGTCCTGCTTTTCCTCTCTGAAAAAAAAAATTTCTGCAGCATTATAAAGTATTACTGAAGTACAACACTCAGTAACAAGCCTGCACTCTTTAAAGACAAGGAGAACTTGTGAATATGACCCCTGAGCCAAATCATGGTATTGTATTACACTGCAACCAAAAAAAATAACTGCACCAAACCCCAAAAAAGGCCACCTAAAAATGCAGTCAGAGAATCCAGAACAGTTGCTTTTAACTTGTAATACTACAGTGGGTCTGAATGACATCTAGATTAAAACATCCTGTGCAGCAAGAGCCTACGCTGCTGAGCATGGAAAATAATAAAGCTAGTCATGCTCTGAATGCATAGTTTAAAACTGTATTTCAAATAAAGTGCCTATATAGATTCACTTATTTTGGATTAAAGATTTTTTGTTTGTTTGTTTTTATTCACCATTAGGTTAATGGGAATTGCGGACAAAACTGGTGGTGTCGAAGAAGCTCTGCTGCTATTTTCCTGTTTAAGAAGTCTTACCACATTAATTGCCATTTTGGCAACGTAAAAACAAAACTCGTTTACAACATATATGACAACCAAAGCAAGTAGGCAAGTACTTTTTATGATACATTCTTCTGTTTTCTATTTACTGTAATTCTCATAACCAGTTACTCTCTGAGAGCTGCTGAAATTAATTTGTTACAGTCTTATAGCATGAACAGCAAAAAATGAAGTACAAGGATATACTGTACCTTGTTTTACCTGTAAGGAACACACACCTGACAAAAGGCAATTTTCACATCCAGAGTAGGTTCACCACAATAATATAAGAAATGGCGGCTCATAAATACCTGCAGTTAGAGAAAAGTAAACATTAAAATGTCATATGTGTTGCTGATGTGCAAGCACAGTATTGCCCTGTTTACTTTTGGGTTACAGAACTACTCTGAGTTGGTAGCCAGCTCCTGAACAACAGTAATTGTATTTAATATAGGACTGGCAATAACGTTGGTGAAAGTTACACATGGCCTTAACTAGGACTTGATTATATCTGCAAAACTTGATAGCAACTGAAGGCATTACCTCAAAGTTCATCTTGCAATTTATCTATTCTCGCATCAGCAAATCAAAACGAGGCCCAGAGAATTTTACGCAACATTGGAATAGGAGACTGTGTCGTTATTTCAAAAAGAAAAATAAAAAAAGAACACAAAGCCAAAATTGTCAACTATTAGGAAGTTGTAGAAAGCAAACATAGTTATATCACTAGGTAAACTGATGCCACAACCACTGCATGAGTATTATGCAGTGGTTGTAAAGCACATAATAATCCCTGGCATAAAACAACTGTACTAGTTGAGATTTTTCAGCCCAGAAAAGAACTAAGACAGTACAAGTTAAAATCCATACAATTATGAGTAGCACAGTGAAAGCAAAAAGGAAGACACTGTTTCTCTAGTCCTTCAAACAAGAAGCTGGCAACAAATTAAGTTATAAAGCAGCAGGTCAGGATTAGCAGAGGGGAGGATTCTTCATTTCCTATTTTGTCAGACTGCATCTTCGCTTCAATTTGCTGTGGATGGCAGAAGTTGACATGGATTCTAATATAATTAGGCAAATTCACACAAAGAAAAACATCCCCCCAAGGCTGTTAACCTCAGAAACACTCCCTCAAGCACGAGAAGATCCTTAGCTGCAGACTGTAGAGTTCATGCTTCACCCAATTTTTATATCCTTTTACAGGCAGGTAACCGCTAGCCCAGACAGGCTGATCACTGGAGTGGACAGACCTTCCCAGAGACCTTATTAAAACTGCTTTTATCTATTTATTTATAAACTCCATAGTACCACACTCAGCTCTGACTACTCAGCCCTTCCATACCTTTCCAGACATGGAACATCAAGGACAAAAACCACACATTTGATACAGTATATCAGTATATACAGTGCCACCTGACACTGGAACTTGCATTGATTTTTCCATATGACCCTACTTCAGCAAGGCAAACTTGTAGCAGTACAAATAAAAAATTACGCCCTTTTATTTGAAAGGTGCTAATGTTGAACTTTTTTTTTTTTTTCTTGTAAAACTAAGCTCATTGCAAAAGGTGAAATAGCTAAGATATGCAGCCATCACTTCATTCACATACAGCCACGGCTGCAGAATTTCACTTGACTCCTTGTAATATTGGCTTGTATGCAGTGGAAACTCTTAAATTTTAAATAAATGCCCTTGCATAAAAAAATTTCCTTAGGAGTAACTCCAACCTGCACAAACAGACCCAGACTTAAGAAACTGCATGTATTCAAGACTATTTACAAACTCGTATCTCGGGTGTGCTCCCACACGTGTTTATTTTTTAAAGAATGAAGGATCCTGTCAGGAAAGCAAGTGCGTGGCCTTTGCTGCGTCAGGTTACGGCTTCCAAGACTGCCGCCTCACCGCTCAGTGAGGCATCGCTGGAGGCGCAAATGCCACACGGGTTTGCATTAAAACGAGGGGGAGGAGGAAGAGGAGCTTGCAAAACTGGTCAAATTCACAGCTGTTTCTGAAAAACCTGCAGGTAATTACACTCTTTCACCACTGAAGGATGCACGGTAAAATTCCACAGACTGGATGCACTGTATTGACAAAAGCATCAGTGGTTTTAATGGCAGCAGTCCTAACATACCACATTGAGTCAAATAAAGGCAAGTGAAGGAAGGAGAGGAAGAGAAATGGGGAAATGTGGCTCCTTGCTCAATTTACTGCAAGTATCTACCTAGAAGGCGCTTCAGAATGCGTAGGCATTACTGCTAATATCCAGCTCCGGAGATCTCTGCGGCGGTGACCAAAACCAGTGGCAGTGACTTTGAGCAAAGCAATCAACTCATGGATTTTATGAGCCGAAATACATTTTTGTATTTATTATGTTGTCTCTGTGTGCAGTTATAAAATAACACAAATGTGTTTTAATGGCCTAGATCAATATTCCTATTCCTCCGTCCATGACATATATCAAATGAAGCTCCAGAGAGCTAAGAATGCCCAGATGTACACAAGGAATGAGGATACTCTTCTGTAACCGAGAGGCCCATCAGACTGTAAACGTGGGGCAAAAGAAATCTGAGTTCACGTTACCTGTAGAGTATATCTTTGCGTATTACACTAGTTGAATTTTAATAAAAGACCTCCTTGCTCTTAAAAGCAAAAAAGAGGTTCTATTTGAATCAGGGTCTGTCCTCTGCCCAGCCAGCTGCTTGGCCACACTCTTCTCCCGGCTCCTCTCCTACCAGCAGGCTTGCAGCACATGGGCCAAAGAACATGCTCCAAGCTCAGACATGAACTTCTAACCCACTCAGACCTGGCATCTGCCAAATCTGCCTTTTCTCAACGTGATTTTTTTTTTTTTTCTCATAATGCTTGTCTTCCCGTATTCACACGGCTCAGTGAAGGCTCACAAAAATAAATCAATGCTGCTAGAGTAATTACTGACATTGAGAGGAACCAGAGTAGTGGGAGTAAACAAAGCAGACGAGAAAACAACAGCAACAGCAGGTCTCACCCAACACAGCCTCCTGCAGATCTTCCTGCCCTTCCCTCCTCACCCTTGTAGCTGTATTTGGCAGCATGCAATGAACCTCTGGGCAACCATGCACCTAAGGAGGCTTTTTTTCTTTTTGTTCTGAAGCCAGTGTACTGTGTCTAAGTGGGTTCTGGTTCATGAACAGAGGCTTGGGTTTGCTTCAAGCCCAGCAGATGCAGACTTTGAACCTCAAGCCTAACCTTCTGCCTTCGTGGTCCTGGGAGAGCCTCAGCACTCGCATGCATCACGTTTCCTTCTAAGCTGCCTCCCTAGCCTAGACAGGGGCTGCACAAAAGGCCCTTGTTTGAAGGAAGTTTTACAGCCACTTTTTTTACAGAGAACCTCCTCACAAGCTCTTTCACATCCTGCACAACTTCACCTGCAAACCTGTCACGCACGAAGGACCTTGCCTGGCATGTCAAAGCAAATTTAAAACTTTTTATGACAAGCAGGAAGACAAATATGGAGCCTCAGGAAAGTCCCTGTACTTTCTTTAGATCAAAGAGACTAAGGAGCCAACTGTCCTACTGTGAGACTGCTTTCCTTATCGCAGCTTTGCCAGGCAGAGCTTTCTGCTTCACCCCAAAGCAAAATGAGCTACGTCAATACAGACAACCAGGGATGCATGTGCTCTAACCAGCACGCTGCCTTAACTAAAGCAAGTCCCAATTGTAGCCTTGTCCTAGCTTGTTCTCACCGCTACACTCACCTCTGCTTACATGTCCTATGGTAAAATGAATTGTCAACAAATCCTATTGTAAAAATACCACTGCATTTCTCTCTCTTGAAAGTCCACATTCACATGCAAACCAAAGCCAAATTGCAGCTGAAGGTAGCATATGCAGAACTATCTGTATAGGATATATTTCTAGATGAAATCCTGCAGCAGCATGGCTGCAGACCGGAAAGTTTGAATGGAATTATGGAGCGATGCCATCCATCAGCGCATTCCCAGCACCATCAGGCACAACCACCTCTGTAATCAAGGGGAACTGGTATATACATGCATACGTATATATATATATATATATATATATATACACACACACACCCCAAGAGCCACATCCAACATTTCCGTATATTTGACGTTATCACGAGATTACATCACGTGTGCACAACGGGTACAGTCAGTGTGTCACACGTCTTCACAAACAGAAAGTTTTATAATCAGGCTACAAGAGCTTAATTAAAATATTTCTTGCTGCCTCATTATATTTTATTCACAAGCAGATTTTTAAAAATTCTGGGCATGGAAAAAATACTGGAATTACACCACCATTTAAAGCTATTTTAAAGGTTCACAAAAAACATCCTGCCCTGCTTCAGTGAGATGAGGTAATTTATCAATTCGGCTGTCACATAAAATCCTTTCTTGAAAAATACTAATGTTCAAAGATTAGCCATCTATGAATTTTTAATGCTTCCTGTTTTGAAATGTGTTTGAATCATTTCACGTGTTTACAGTCACGAAACTGACGTCCTCTTGCTTTAAAAAGACATGCTCTCATCACAGCTTATCAGTACTCTGAGGCTCTGAGTGCCCCTGGGATCTGCCTCCTGTAAGTCTCTTTTTCCTTCACTGAAATTTGATTATTCAACTCTGTATAAACAACAAGGAGAACAATTAAGAAGCTACAGAATAACATGAGGAGGCCCCGTCTTTTGGTATCACCTCTCTGTATCGCTGCGTGTCTCAAATAATGAGCACCTGACCAAGGTCACACAGGGTGACACAGCAAGCCAGGGAGAACATGGTCATCTTAGATTCCCTGTCCCACCCTGTTTGATATCCAAGTTTTGCCTTCTTTATGTGCCAACCTTCTGAGCGTCACTGTGCCCAGCGCGGCAATAATGGCTTTCATAGGACCATCTATTCATTAGACTGAGAGTAAGCAACAGAGCACTCTACTGAGCAGGACTGTTGTTCTGTTGTATCTATGCTATCCCTTTAATTATGTTGGAATAACTGCAGAAAGCAACGATGTGAATAGGGTAATTATTAGGGTTAAATCCCAGCAGTAACAGCTTATCTTACAATGCGATAAGAAGTGACAGTGTTTAAAAATTTACCAGAAACATGCAAGTAGTTCCTGAAGCGAACTGCTGCAACACAAAGCCAACAGGTACAGAGAGCTTAGGAATAGCACTGAAAGGGATTTTGGAAAAAATATTCACCAAGCAGTATGGAAATTGCAAAGAGAGATCACATAAAAACTGAGGGGCTGTTTTTCTTAATGACCACAGCTTACAGGCAGAAGGCAGGAAAGGCTGAGCTCCAAATCCAG